CCCCCCTTTAAAAAACCAAACTATCCCACATTCTCTGCACATAATATTATTTTGCTTCCTCGCTCTTTTTACTACTTCATTCTTTGGTCACTTTTATTTCTGGTCTATCCACGTTTGATTTTGGTTTTTATTTATTTTGTATTTAGTTGTTTGTTGTTTGTTTGTTGTTTGTTTGTTTGTTTGTTTGTTTGTTTGTTTGTTTGTTTGTTTGATTGATTGTTTGTTGTTGTACACCAGTTCTCTTTTATAGTTTCTCCGCTTTTAAGTCTTAATTCCAGATATTGTGATTTAACAGAGACAAAAACTTGATCCAGTCCTACTAACGACAACGGACAAAGCATTATTAAGAAAAATATATAATTTCTCCCAGACTTTTAGCATGACAAAAAAGGAAAATTATGCTTTCCAAGTAAAGGCTCAATTTTAGGTTGAGGTCCACAGAGAAAATAGGTTCCAATAAAATGTTGTTATCAAAACTACGTTTTAAGTCTAAGGATGGAAGTTGAGGCAATGGCCTTAAGTTACATGGCAATAATAACGCCCTCCCGTAAAAGATGGATTGAGTGAGCCAGGGAAACCCTGAGAAATCACAATATCCCAATTGCAAGAGCTGCAGAGCTGGCCTACTGTAGAAAACTGCATCTCGCCTAGACTCTAAAAGGCAACAGAGGATGAAAAAGTAAAAAGTAAAGAGTTGATAATAATAGATACGAGTACTCTCCTCTCATTAGATAATATGACAGAAAAAGGTAGGAAATTGCAACTGATGATAACGATGAATGTGCCTTTAAATGTGACACAAACGGGTACAAAATTACTATTGATACGCTCATCCTCCTATTTATTGTTAATTCATCCAATCAGTTTTGCCTCTGTTCAAGGTAGACCTGAAAGAACGAAAGGGTGACCTGCAAATGTGTGACATCAAAGCTAAAAATAACAGCCCTTTTAAGAAATTAGTGAACTGTTCGATGAATTAGAGATTTTGTAAGCAATTAGAATTCCATCTCCTGTCTCGGTGGAATATCAGGAGGCTCCGAAACAGCCCAAATTTGCCTACATACAAAGAGACCGAGAAAGAAAGAAAGAGAGACAGAGAGAGGGAGAGAGGGAGAGAGAGAGAGAGAGAGAGAGAGAGAGAGAGAGAGAGAGAGGTAGAGAGAGGTGGGGGAAGAGAGAGAGAGAGAGAGAGAGAGAGAGAGAGGGGTGGGGGGGAGAGAGAGAGAGAGAGAGAGAGAGAGAGAGAGAGAGAGAGAGAGAGAGAGAGAGAGAGAGAGAGAGAGAGAGAGAGAGAGAGAGGTGGGGGGAGAGAGAGAGGGGTTGAGGAGTAAAGAATGGAAACATACCGTTGTACTCCATGTCCCCCAACATCACTGGATATCAATGCTATCGCTTACGGAAAACACATCTTAACCAAGCCTCCTGTAGCCTCATCCATCAGCTGATCATGCAGGAGAAGAGTATAAGTATAAGAAGAAAAAGAGAATCAGGAACGAAACAAAACGCCAGCGAAGGAATATATCCTTTCCGTGTCTTATGGGCAAACTTGAAGCAAGATGGATGACCTGTACTCGGAGTTCAAGATAATAATTATAAAGAAAATTCCGAGAAGACAAGTATTTAGGGAAATGGGGTCATGACGCTAGACTAGTGTAGGGAGGTTGTTATTTCTTAATCCAGCAACGAAAAATTGGGAGGAAGGGAGGAAGGTTACTGGGAAGGAGTCCGTGACAATTTGATTCTATGGCTGAGGCGAGAGAGTGAGAAAACAGATAAACAGAAGAAGACCAAGTAGAGACAACCATTGAAATTTCGTTTTGCTGAGATTAAGGCACCGGAGGGCTAACAGCAACTATTAAAATTTGGTAACAAAATGTTATCATTAAATTATCAAAAATTGTCATGGACTCGTCTATGTGTATCACTAGATCTAGGGATAGAAGAAACAAATTTGATTTAGATTAAGACTAGAGACTTTCTTGAAGTGAAAAAGAAATCAACACAAACAGTGCTGAAAGAAACTCTGACCTAAACCATTAGGAAGTGACAAAATAGAATGCAGTTTCTTGGACAACTGGATAGGCATAAAGGTCTTGAGTATCTTGCTCTCACTAGAAGAAGAGAATGTTACAGATTAACCTACTAAAAGAATTTCAGCAGATGAGTGGTTGGGAAAGATATAAAATAGAAAAATGAGTGATGAATCATTATGTTTATTTCAGATTTGTCACTTCATGATGAAAATGACAAACGGCATAGCATCTGACTGGATGGACATCTAGAATTAGGCCCGCTTTCTGGATCTAATGTACAATATCTTCACGTCTGGCGAAGCTGAAGGAAAACGAGACAGGGGTAGACTCAGAGCAGCATGATATTGAGAGCCTAAACAGATGGGTGACGGAGAAAGATCATTATAATGTAGCCAAGCGTTTTTTCTTTAGAGATTCCAAGCAAAGGAATGAGCAGAGAGCAGTGATCGCCGACGTCTGTCGCAGTTGGGGCACTTGATGATGACGATGTTCGCATCGTGCATGCACACACACACACACACACACACACACACACACACACACACACACACACACACACACACACACACACAAATCACACACACACAACACACACTCACACACACACACACAACACTTACACACACACAACACACACACACACACACACACACACACACAGAGTTGGAAGTTGAGAGGAAGGGAAGAGAACGAGAGACGAAGAAAGGGGAGGTACAGATAGATAGATATAAATAAACAAAGAGAGAGAGAGAGAGAGAGAGAGAGAGAGAGAGAGATAGAAAGCTACTCACATTCACACATAAGCACAGACAGAAAGACAGGGGAGCATAGAGAGAGAGAGAGAGGGGGGGGGGAGGGGAGAGAGAGGGGGGAGGGAGGGGGAGAGAGAAGGCGAGAGAGAGAGAGCAAGAGAGGTGGGGAGAGCGAAAGAAAGAGAGAGAGAGAAAGAGAGAGAGGGAAAGAGAAAGGGGTGGGGAGAGAGAAGAAAAAGAAAGAGAGAGAGAAAGAGAGAAAGAGAGAAAGTGAGAGGAAGAGGTGGGGAGGGAGGGAGAGAGAGAGAGAGAGAGAGAGAGAGAGAGAGAGAGAGAGAGAGAGAGAAAGGAGAGAGAGAAAGAGAGAGAGAGAAAGAATGCAAGAATAACAAAGATATCATGTGCTAGCCAAAGAAACTGGGGGAAAATAAAAGATTTGAAAGTGATTGAGCGAGTCGCGCAAGGGTGGGGGTGTGTGTGTGGGTTGGAAGGGGGGGGGGATTAAATGCGAAAACTGGGGGGGGAAATCCAACGAGTACATAAACAAAAGGCTTAACATAGGATGCCGCCGTAGATTCTCCTTATAGGAATATTTTTTAAAGAAATACTTCATGTAATTGGAGTAAGACAGACAGAACACATGAGACGGATAACTATCTTTAAGAGGGAGAGAATGTTCCAGCGAAACTGTAGGTTAAAAAAACTAAGTCATCATACAAAAAACTACAGCACTGTAGCGAGACCAGGGGGTTCTAGATGGTGGAGATTTACTGATGTCGGAGTTGTATCACATCAAAACTTGATCTCGTGCAGGAAAACAGAGCTCGCTCTTCTCAACAGGTGAAGGAAATCTGATCAGAAAGTTATCCTTGCTCCTAGTGTTTTGAGACAACAACGAGAGAGAGATACAGCAGGTTCTGCTATGGCTTGGAAACAAAAGGTAGAATTTTATCTTTAAAAGACTAATTTTATTATTTCATTTTTGTTTCTTTTGGTGTGAGTGAGGGCATGGGCATACTCTTGTGTTCGTGTGTGTGTATGCGTGTGTGTACGTTCATGTGTTTATGTGAGTAAACAAATGACAGGAAGAGACAGAGAGAGGGAGACAGAAAGAGAGAAAAAGAGAGGGAGAGAGAGAAAGAAAGAGAGAGAGAGAGAAGGGGGGGGGGTAAGACAGGATGTATATTCAACATCAGGTTGGGAACTAAATGTACGTTGATTAATCCATTAATCCATTAATAGTATTAAAATGTTAAGATTAAACATCGGGAAATACAGCTCCCCCACACCCCCCTCCCCCCTCCCCAATCCTCTCCATTCCCCAACTACCATTCCTTTTCAACGCTTTGAAATGGACATTCCATGGATCCTGTTCCAGGAACACACAGAAGAAACTACTTCACGCTGTAGCTCCACAGTTACAAGTAATGATACTGCTCCTGCGGTTCGTTACTTGCCAAACTGCATAATAAGGCAGAAGATATTCGGAGACGT